CTTCCCAGGAGTCCACGGAGCTATTTTTGGCACACACAGGTGGGACACTGTAGTTCGTCACACGGTGAAGGGTGGTGTGCTGCGGCGCTCTTTATTCAGTCAGTTGCAGAGTGTCAGACACTCGAGGCTGTGTCTAGTCTTTAGTGAACACAAGCGACGCTGCCCACAGAGCTGTATGGGTGCCCGTGGCTCCTACCTGCTTGAGCATCCCTGTCTGTGAGTTCTCAGAGGCTGGACTCTCAGGTAGTGGAGAAGCCCTTGTAGTTTTGACAGATGACAGTCAAACTGTGCTCTGGCACAAGTGCTCTGTTTAAGAAGCAAGCAGCAGGCACGGGAATGCAGTTTCCAGACATGTGTCAGATACAGCGTGTGAGGAAAATGTGACAGTCCCAGAAGTGAATGGTGAAACCTTGGTTTAGATCTCCGTTATCTTTTGCTTCCATTTGGTGATGTTAAGCCTCTCTTCAAATGCATATGATAGTGTTTCAGTCTCTACACCTCTGGTGCCAGGATGGCCACGTGATCTAAGATGCCAGCCTCTGTCTTCACATCCCTTCAGCTCTTGCTCTTTGCCTGTGTTGGCATGGGACGCTTAGGTTGCTGGTGGTTTGTTTTTAATTGATGTATTACAACCTTTAAGCTAGGGATTTTGCCAGTTGTCTGAGCTATTGATTTTAAGTAACTTTCGCAGGTGGGTTTGGGTGGGTTTGTGGGAGGGTTGGCTGTGAGGACTGTACTGATTAAAACTTTCAGTGTCAACATGACTGGACTTGGGGTGTCTCTGAAGGTGATTCCAGCAAGGGTTAACTGAAGAAGGAAGACACAGCCTGTTTGTAGGTGGCACCATCCCACGCCAAACTGAATAAAAAGAGGGAAAGGAGGAAGGGAGATTCGTTGGCATTTCCCGCTGTCTGCCTCCTGGTTTGTTCACATTCGGGGAGTCCCAGCTGTCTGTGACCTCTGCCATTTCTCCCCTCCGTGATGGACCCCACCCTCTCACATCCTGAGCTAAATGAACCCTTCATCCATTGCTCTCCTGAGGCAAGGTCTCTCTCTGAACCCAGTCTCTCCGTCACAGGTAGCCTAGCTAGCCAGCGTGTCCCTGGAGCTGAGATTAGTCGGGTTACCTCACCTACCGACACACATGTGGGCGCTTGGGGTCTGAGCTCTACCCCTCAGGCTGGACTCGAGCCATCTCCCCAGCCCAAAGCTTCATTTTTCAAATGCAACTAATTTCATCAGTTTTTTTCCCTTTCCAGTTTTACATTTTTGTGCGTGTCCATATAAAAACATTCCTCCCTACAAAACGAGAAACTCTATTTTCTTCTAGTTCCTTCATTTCTCTCATCATGTGTTGGGTCCGGGTCAGCTTTGTCTATGGGATGTATGGTTTGTACTCTTCTTTCTAGCCCCCATTGTCCCATTACCATAATTCACCAAAGAGTCCGCCTCTGCTCATTGACTCCAAATAACACCTGGGCTCGGCCCGTGGATGTGCTCAGTTCGTCTCTGGGTTTTCTCCTCTGGGGAACAAGGGTGCTTTTTGAGGAATTACATGCAATACCTAAGCTTAGAACCCCAGATTGGAAATGGCATTCTTTTTTTTTTTTTTTTTTTGGTTTTTCGAGACAGGGTTTCTCTGTGTAATAGTCCTGGCTGTTCTGGAACTCATTTTGTAGACCAGGCTGGCCTTGAACTTACTGAGATATGCCTACCTCTGCCTCCCAGGTGCTGGGATTAAAGGTGTGCACCACTGCCACCCAACTGGGAAATGGCATTTTTTGTTTTTCTGGGGTGTTTTTTTTGTTGTTGTTTTGTTTTGTTTTTAATTTAAACGTACTTTATTTTTAGACAACCTACATGACATTTTTTTTCTAGAAAGAAAGGAAGGAAGGAAGGGAGGGAGGGAGGGAGGGAGGGAGGAAGGAACGAAGGAAGGAAGGAAGGAAGGAAGGGAGGAAGGAAGGAAGGAAGGAAGGAAGGAAGGAAGGAAGGAAGGAAGGAAGGAAGGAAAAAAAACTGTCTCCACTCTAAATAAATAAATCATGGTCAAAATAAATGCTCAAGATGACATCGGTCTCCTTTGTCCTAAGTCCTAGTGTTTTATGGTTGGTAAGCAGCAGCCAGGTACAGTGACAGGGGACAGATCCAATTTGTTAACATTTTTCTATTTCTAAGCCATCCTTACAGAAAATCGTGTATGGAGTCACACCATCTTTACAGTAGTCCAGGAGAGCAACCACGCCATCTGGATTCATGTTTTCACCAATAAAAAACTGGTAGTTATTGAAATTAGCAAGGATGTGCTTAATCTGCTCTGCAGTCCCAGTGATAAAAGGCTTTACACTCTTTCTGGTTTCTGCTCTTCAAGTTTGCCTTTGAGTGATTTCATGTCATCTTTGAAGTACTTTTTGCAGGCCTCTTTTGTGAAGCTGGTTTCTTGTAAGTAGTTGTTCATGTCAATTGCCACACCGGTAACTACTGTGTTTTCAGTACCTTTGCCCTCTGGGCCTTCAGCGGAAGAATTTCCACCAATGAGCGAGTCATCAACGTTACCCTCTGTCCTACTGACCATCTTGCCCTCCACCTCCAGGCACAGCCCGTCCATGATCTCCCGTATCTTGTAGATGTTGGAGAACAGCTTGTCATAGCTGATGAGGTCTTGGTGGTGGCGGCTGGGGACAGAGCAAGCACAGTGCAGCTGGACCCCACCCCCACCCCCCGAGGGAGGAGGGAGGATGGGGGGGACGACAAGGGACGGGGAACGGAATGGCGTTCTTATAGATGGTTTTACCTGTAGGAATTGCTTCTCCATTCAGAAAAAACCATGTTCTTTGTGTAATGAGCTTTCCATTCCATCATATTTTTTAAAAGTAAAGGATTTATTTTTTGAGAGGGAGGGAGGGAGGGAGGGAGGGAGAGAGGGAGGGGGGTGTTCACGCACTTGAATGCAGGTGCCTATGGAGGCCAGAAGAGGGCATCAGATCTCCTGGAGGTGGAGTCACAAACAGTTGTGAGCCACCCACAACTGGGAACCGAATCCAGGTCCTCTGGAAGAGCAGTATGCAATCTTAACTGCTGAGCCTTCTCTCCAGCCCCACGATTCTATCACATTTTAAACCTTGCTTCCTCTCATCTGCTCCCTGTGGCTAGTCCCTGCAGCTTTGGACAGAAGTGTTCCTACGCTTGCCCTACATGAAAACCTTCCAACCAAAGGACTAACTCAGGAGGGTGACAGAAAGAAAGACGGATGGAGGAGGGAGCCTAAATCCCACCCAGGGGCAGAAGTCTTCTCGATGGGCCTCTGGGGAAGGCAGGATGTTGCCCGTTGTTGTCCACCAGAAGTCTTGAAGCTCCTCTCAGGGCCCGAGTCATCCGGACACTCCAGTTTTCTTCCTAGTGGTCTTGCCAGGGAGAGGAGATGTGCTGTTTTAGAAGGCTGAGTCAGGACTCTCTGGAACCTGACACCCATCCGTGTGTGGACAGGGGCCACAGCCCCTGCAGCACCATGTCTGGTGCAGGGTGACACGATCATTTCCTCTCACTACTTCAGGCAGCATGGGGCTTCCAACAGCATGAGAGGCCCACTGTGACTCTCGACACACACCGTGACTCTCTGCCTTGCCGTTATTTGATATCAGTTCTAGTGTCTTTTTAAGATATATCTTACTTATGTGTGTGTTCATGGGCCTGTGCATTATGTACATGTACACGCATGTGAAGGTGGGTACCTGGGGAGGGCATCAGATGCCCTGGAGCTGGAGTTTCAGACAGGTGGGAGCCCCTGGGAGTGCCAGGAAAGGAATGCCAGTCCTCTGCAAGAACAGCAAGTCCTCTTAACAGCTGAGACATCTCTCTGCCCCAGTGCCATTTTCTCAATGATTTTGTCTTTACTTCCCCCCAAAAGAAGAATTTAACCTGTAAGCCCACCACTTTAGACAACCACCAGAAAGAAGGCACTCTTAAAATCAACTTTTTTTCTCTCTATGTAAGTGTAAAGTGGGCCCAGGAGGGCAGTTAGTTGATAAATACTTGCCTATCCTACATGACGCCCTGGATCCAATCCCTTGGACTACATAAGCCGAGCGCGGTGGTCCACACCTAGAATCCTAGCACTGGGGAGAAGAAAGCAGGAGAATCGGAAACTCAAGGTTATCATTGGCGTCATAGAAAGTTCTGGGCCAGCCTCAGTTATGTGAGACCCTGTCTCAAACCAAAAAATAAAATAAAAATTTAATGGTATATTTCATTTTACAAATGTACTATAATCAACTGCTTGTAACTACACACATTTTTTTTTTTTTTTTTGAAGCATCACCCTGAGTTAAAATCATCTCAGCCAGCCCTCTTGACCGCTCTGGGATTTTATGATTTTATTCAATGAATAGGCGAGGAAACCAATGTGGATATACAGGGAGCTTGATGTCACAGCTAGTACAGAACAGGCCCAGCGTGTGTAACAAAGGTTCCCACCTACACTGTGATCCATGTCCCGAGCCCTTGTACTTATGTCTTCTCATTCATAGCTACAGTTTAGCCCCCAAAGGTTCATGGGCTAGAAGTCTAGTGCAGAGGTGCTGAGGTGGTGGGATCTTTAAGGGGTGGAGCCCAGTGGGAGGCAGTTAGGATGCGAAGTGTGTTAGGATACAGAGTGCTCCATCCTTATTCTCAGGGGACCGTCTCAGGTCTTACGGGACTGGGTCAACTCTGGTAAGGACGGGATGCTGGATGAGAACCCGAGCCTTTTGAACCCCTTTGCTGTGCCCACCACCTTCACCACAGTGTGCCATTTGACCCGATGATCTCACCAGAGCCAGTGCTGGTGCCCTGCTCTTGACCAGTCAAAACTGGGAACTAAATAAAACCCCTTTCTTTAGAAAGCACTCCACCTCCAATGTTCTGTTACGGTAACACGCAAAGAGACCATGAAAGCCACTCTGAGAGGGATGTGTTATCTTACTATTTTTATTTAATGTTTTTGGTTGCCTATGAGTTTGAACATATTCCCATGTTTTACAAAT